TTGTTCCTGGAGGCATGTCCAGGAGTGAAGGTTTCCTGGCTACAGAAACACCAAATAATCAATATTGCTAAAGCATTAGTTAGGCAAGAAGGCATTCTTTGTACACTAGCAATCTTTGAAAATGCATGTTTACTCATAGTAGTTCCATGAAAAGTTTAGTTTCCATGTTTACAAACGACAGCTGTAATGGAACACTAATTGTCCTTGCTCTGGGCTTCCTTTACACCAGTTTAGCCTAAATAATAGGCTGAAAAACCTGAAATGCAGGAATTTCACCCAGTGGCATTGCACCCCACTTCAAATACACAGTTGAAACATATCTCTTTTGCTATTGCCCTAGACAGGATGAGGTCATGTTGGTTCTTAATACTTACATGGCCATAATGTTGCCCAGGTGTAGTCTGCTGGAACCAGGTTCTTTCTACGGTATATGAACAGCGAATTCAAAATTATGGAGCCCTATACTTGCTTTCAGATTTTGAAAGAGGAGAATGAACACTGTTTACATAACAGCACAACTGCTGTTATGCTTGCAGTGGCCCAGCTTGAGGTTGCATTAAGTTGGAAATTTTCTATTGAACTATTGATATAAAATGAATGGACAGAATATGGAAAATTACCTTTTCAGAAGCATAAAGGACTGGAAAACTGATACTTATTCCTAGAAGTGTGGGAGCCATTTATTGCATATGTGCACACACATTCAGCAATCCTTGCTTCTCTGTACAATTTAAATTCTGGAGAGACACATTATAACACCACTAGCTGCAAAATCTGTATCTGTTTTGTTTGGTGCAGGGTTAAAACTGAATTTAAAAACTTCTTGTTTAACCCCACCACCTGCAAAAATAAGAGAGTGATCACTTCCTTTGGTCATTGTTAAGGACTCAGGAGACTGTGGAGAAACCCCCTTTGCTTGCTTATGTTTCTGTATGCTAACTAGACAGCTGGTTTTGTTTCTCACCTGTCTGTTGTAAGGGAACTTCCTGTTCGGTACTCAGGATGTTGTAGAATTATTTCTACAAGAGTGTGAGAGCAAACTGACTAGCTCCCTTCTGAACTTGTCATTGCTTGCATATGTGCTTAGGGGTCCTGTGGCTTTTGCAGAACTGTGACCTTCACAGTATCAGCGATTAAGCAAAATAAAACAGAGATCACTACTGGCATAAACAGAATCACGTTAGTGCAGCTTAGCAAAGGAAACATTGCAGGCAGGAGGCCCAGCTGACAACCCTGAAAGGAGGAGGCTGAAAAGGTTTAGAGTAACCACACCAACTACCGCAAGCAACTGAGGGAACTCTGCACTGAATTCAGGAACTGAGCCGCATTTTAATTCTTGCACACAGGCTTTCTCTCCGGAATTCTCTTGCCCCGAACTGTCTTGTTAAATAAAGTAGATTATGACAGTTTCATTGTATTATGATTTAAAGAGATGATTAATTGATTACAGGTTTAAGATGCATTTCTCTATTTAGTAGTTTACTCTGAAAGAATATTCACATTTAATGCCACTTAGGTCAACTACCTAAGAAAGTGACAATAACTGCAATCCATCGCAGTTAGGTGGACTTCATTGAAATGGAGCATAGGAAAAGAGGATAGAGCCCCTAAACCCAAAGGCAGACAACTTTCGAGACCTTCCAGATGTTTGACCTGGAACTCCTATCAATGACAGGCTGTATAACCAATGGTGAAGGCAGATGGATATTATAGGCCAAAGCAACTGAACAACCAGCCATTGTTTGCCCTTGCTTTATACTGTTTAGCTTAGTGTGGTTTACAGCCAGGGTCCCCATCCTCTTTGGACCCATGGGCACATTTGGGGATTTGGCAAACCTCTGTGTATGCCCCCACAAGAATGACACCCCTGTGGATGTGGCTCACCACATAATGGCTGCTGTGGGGGCTTGGCTTGTTGAAGGTGAGCTGAAGAGGTGGGAAATTACCATGCTAGAGGTTAAGGGAAAGGGGGAAATTGCAAGGAAAAGAGGAAAGAGGGAGAGAAAGAGTAAGACTAAAATGTATTAAAAATAAAATTTTAAGTAAGCAGGAAGTAGAGAGCTTTGTGCTTGTGGGTGCAGTGTGGGGACCCCTTCTGTACATTGCCTTAGCAGGATTTCTTCAGGATTCCTAATGATAGTCTTTCCCAGCTCTTCCGGGAGATGGCAGGGTTCAAACCTGAGATACTGGGATGCAGTACCTGTCTCCACTGTTGACTTAGAGCCCTTTCTTCAGTGTATTGTAGCCAAGTATGTAAGGTAATTTTCACAACAATAAAAGCCTTGACTGTATCAGTTGGCTGAGAGAAATATTTAATTAAACCTTGCCAGTGTTGGCTTATCCAGTATCCTTTAATAACTTGATTCATTTAAATTGATTTTTGAATTTTATTGCTGAAAGCATGATAAACAGCTAAAAAACATTGAGAACCAGTTTGGTGTAGTGTACAGGACTGGGACTCAGGAGATCTGAGTTCTTGTCCCCACTCAGCCATGGAGCCTGCTGGGTGAGACTGGACCAATCACAGACTCTTAGCCCGATCTACTTCATAGGGTTGTTTTTGTGGTGATAAGACTGAGAGCAGGAGGAAGAAATTGATGCAAGCCACTTAAAGTTTTAAAAAAGAAAAAGGCAAGGTATAAATCTGTTTAATAAATTAATAAATAAAATAGTAAAAAAAGTTTGCTTTTTCAAAGCACAAGTATTTAAGATTTCAGGGTCAGAACTTGCTATTCAGGTAGGAGTCTCCTCTTGCAAACAAAGGGTTGGGTTCAGATTTAATCTACTGTAGACCCACTGAAATAATTAGAATTATTGTCAGCCTTGACTGATTTAAATTCTATTGATATTTGTGCATCTACTATTAGCATAACTGCATCTGGTTTGAACACAATGTTAATCCAAAAAGAAGAAGTGAGGAGGGGGGGTGGTATGAAGTAGAGTGATTTATGTCCTTGACATTATGTCAGCAAGTTGCAGTCGAGCGTGATGAGGTGGAAAGCAGAGCCATCCTATCAACCTTGCTGAAAAATTGTGAACTCTTTCTTTCTTTCTTTCTTTCTTTCTTTCTTTCTTTCTTTCTTTCTTTCCCTCCCTCCCTCCCTCCCTCCCTCCCTCCCTCCCTATCCTTTTCATGCTGTGTTACCCTTTTTAGAGGCTGCTGGAAGGGACTGTCTTGTTTTTATAAACAGCTGTTCCAGGAGCTTTTGTGATGGATGAGATAAAAATGTTTCAAATAAATAATTTAGGCTGCAATCCTTTGGCCTGCTTATGTAATCTCAGAGGCTATGGGATTCTGTTTGGATGCCCCATGAGCTTAGAGCTAGCTCAGAAGGCTGAACCTCTGCCACCCCCACCACACACACACACAGCTGGCATGGAAAGAATTGCATGTCAGGCCTTGGAAGGAAGGAGGCTGGGGCTGAAGATTCACACCAGTTCCAGTCCGCACGACTTCCTCGTTTCTCCCTCTCCAGTGCTTCATCTAGATGCTTGAAAATGGCTGCCACTCCACCTATCTCCTTCCACTGAATGTGCATAAGGCTTCAAGTTTGGAGCCTTACATGCAACTGCAGTAAGAGCAATAGGACTGCGCCCTAAATCTAGTAACATAGCCCATGCATTTGTTTGTATCAACAATCATATTGGATGTAGAATCAGAGAATGTCAGTATTCATGAAGAATACATATCATGTGCTCTGAAACATATTTATCTGAATAACCTACTGTTCTCTTTAAATGGTGCACTGACTTGACTTTATACTGGATGAAGAAGGGTACTCTTGAATACTGCAGACATCCTTGGAGAGGTCTTGATTGGTATTTTCAGTGTATCATATTTACTAATATACAAATGTCTGTAGATAGATGGTGCCTCTGAATGAGTGGTGGTCTGGGTAACCATTTTTTGAAAAAATTCTGGCCCAATCCAAAGAAAGTCCCAGTGAAACCATTAGGTAATTTAGTAGCATCTAATCTACAGTCCAATAATTTTATTGGGACTTTATTCAAGCTAACTTTGGGCTTGCGTCAGTAGCTAGGTTTCTCCCTTCACACATTCAAGGCAACAGACAGTTCCTCTGCAAAAGTTCTTTATCCTCTGAGGGACCTCCAGTAAGCAAAATCATCACAGAATGAGTCTCTGGGCATGCACAGAGCAGTTCATTTGAACCCAATCTAACAACTATTTCCAAAAACGCTCCTTTTGAGTACTCTTGGGCCCCATCTCTCTGGGAGGGTCCATTTGGAGATAGACAAGCTTCTTCTCTGTATGCCACCCCTATAGTTGACTAGCTGTTCTCTCCCAACATTATGTCATGACGTCAAGAGTCATACGAGGCTTGGCTGGCTCCCGTCGCTCCTGTCCTATGCCCCTCCTGGCAGTTGTAGATTCTGGCTGCTCTCAGAGTCTGCCTGAACACCTGGAGAGGTGACCTTGGGATAAGCCCTTCTGCTTCTCTCATCGCAATGTCTGGGAAGGCTTGTCAGATGAGTCTGAATCTGGCTAACCTTGGAATGTGTGCCAAGAGCAACTGTCCCTTTCATTCCCAATAGTTTGGACCTCTGAGTACCAAATCTTCCTTCTAAACTATTGTTCCATTTTTGTGCTGCATAATTGATGATGCTGTAACCTTTTCTTTCAATGCGAGGCTCCCAAGACAGCCTTCTTCACATATTTCAGAAAAAGGAGATTGATCACCGCCTCTCTCAGCTCTGTATTCCCATTTTTCCCTCTTGATTTCTGTTCAGCTAATTGCAATGAGATAGTAGCAACATCCAGGACAGCATATTACTACTGTGATGCCACAGGGAATGACAGCATCAGAAAGTGCCCAATAATTGCTACCCAGTGGCAATGTTGGCAAGGATGATGGGAGAAATAGTTCAGCACATCTGGAGAGCACCATGTTGAAAGGCCCATGCATCTAATGAAACTGTCTGTCTGTCTGTGCATAAGGAAGTTTCCTCTCATCAATATACTCTTTTTGTTTTCTACACAGGTGCTGATGGGTTAGGACTGACAGACCCCAAACTATGTTACATTCTGGATGGATTCCTCTTAATTTATGGTGTGATTATCACAGCCTTTTTTGTAAAAGCCAAAGTAAGTTCTAGATCTTGTTCCCTCCCTCCCTCCCTCCCTCTCTCTATAGATAAATAGATACACACGCATATATGCAAGGGCCAGTCTGCAAACCCTTTTTCTATTTTGTAGCTCTCAGGATTCCATCTTCTGCACAAGTAACACTTAAAGCACAATTCTATGCATGTCTAAACATGCAGAGGATTAAACTCTTAATTGCTCTTCCCTCCACTTTTTTTCCAACAGGAGAAGGCAGAAGGATTGGGCCCAGCCTTTTAGATGGAATTTTGGCAAATAAATCAATCCCAGATAACCCTTTCCCACTTTTCCCAACTAGGCATTAACGCTGGCCAAAAATCCCAAGAATTAAATAGTTTCAAATAGTATGACAGTATGTCTGTCTTAGGGATTCATGAACATATGGTTTGCTTATATAAAGGTTTCTATACCACCCTTCAGATATTCTACAGTGGTTCAAAACAGGCAAGTCCAACTTTTCATACCTTGAGGGCTACATGAGGACTTCAACACAGAATGAATTATAATTGCATATCATGCAAATGGAGGTGTACGGGGGTGTATATGAGAAGTTGGTATGTCCAATCTTAATATCATTTTAATGCCAGGTTAAACCTCTCGTCTACCAGATGGTGTTTAATTAGTTTACTGGTCTTTGTTAGCTGCTTAAATAGGTCTTAAGATTTACATTGCATAAGCTATTGTTAGTTTTTGTGTAGGTTTAAATTTGTTTTAAATTTGCTCTTAAAAATTTGTATGGTAATCTTTTAATGATGTTTTAATATTATTTGCATTTTATACAGTATTTTTATATATTGTAAACTTCCCAAAGAGCTTCAGCTATTGGGTGGCATATAAATTACATTACATTAAAATAGTTTAGAGTAGGTCATTTGAAATAAGTAGGCTTTAATTTAATCGAAACCCCCTAATTTCCATGAGTTTACTTTAAATATTTCTAAATCTGGATCCAATCACATGCAGCAGGGATGAGAAATTCCATTCCACTTTGCTCTTCCAGGCTGCCCGACCCCCAAAGCCTCGCCCATGGAAGCTAGCAAGGAGTGAAATCCTTAGTGTCTGCTCCAGTCAGGAAGCTCCTGACAGCTTGCCTTGTGTGCTTCCCAGTGGGGGAAGGTGTGGGTGAGGTGATGCCACTGCAACTGAGGCATTGGTGCTTCCTGAGTGAACACTTTGCTTGGGATGGTTCTGCTGCACATGGCCGGCATACCACCATCTGAAGCTCTAGCTAGACTCCAGCTAGTTCCATGGCCAGGGACTGAATGCTGCAATGGGACGTGACCCATTTAGACCACAGAAGAACGGGTGAGGATCATCTGGCCCTTTCCCCAAAATCAGTTCTCCGCCCCTGACATACAAGGCACATGGGCCTTCAGTTGCAATGCCAGATCCAGGACTGACTTTTAGGACTATAAAGTCAATCCTTTAGGGTGGGGTACATCACCTTTTTCAACTTGAGGTTTGGATTGTCACCTGGGAAACCTCTTGGGGGTGTATGTCAGAAGTCTTTTTCTCTCTTTATTAGAGCTTACCTGTTTCTGAATATTAAGACATTGTGTATACAGACAGTAAGCCAAAGTGGAGGTAGAGGACAGCAGATTTATTTATTTATTTAGCAAGCTTATATGCCATCCTCTTCGCATAAGCCTCGGGGCGGCTTACAAACATAAATAAATACCACCAACACAATAGTATAAAATTGGAGACATCCTGGCCAAAGTTGTTAAAATCAATAAATAAAATCAACAATTAAAATGATGTTTAAATAAATAGGTCTTGGCCTGGTGCCAAAAAGCAAATAATGATGGGTTATTAAACAAGAATAATTTATTCTTGTTGTCCTTTGTCAGTGCAAACATTCCCTACTTGGACATTTGAGATGTTGTACATGTCATTACTAATACAGAAATAGTATAATTGAAAAAGAGCCTGATGAAGATTAAGTAATCTTGAACATTTTCTGTTAATTAATAAATGTCCAGTTTTGCCACAAGGATGTTAATTAGTTGCTAAATTAGAATAAGGTGGTGAGATTATGTATAGTAATGTTTCTCAACACTCAGTATCTTCCACGTCAGTTTCACCATCTTGACAGGTTGTAACAGTGAAGCTTTGAAATCCCAATGCATTTTTTGTTCATGCAAATTTGAAAAAAGTGACAAAAGATCTAGTAATTCTGTGACTAATCTCAAATTTTGCATTTTGAATGGACAGTTTAGATAAATGTATTTAATTGGCTTTTTCATACATAAGGGGTTTTTTGAGTGTGTGAGAGGGAGAGAGAGGGAGGCTCATTCACACATCATGTTAGCCCATCCACAGTAAGATTGGTTGTTCTCTGAGCAAGCCAGAATGCACCTGACAAAGGATCCAACTCACTCTGGGTTATCGACCACCTCCTTCCTCTTGGTCAGACTACAGATGTCCCAGGGGCATTGTGATAGGACCAACTTCTTTCCCCATCCCTGCCACAATAATTTTTGGCTTTTTGTGCCTTTATCCGTTTTTTCCCCTTCAAAGATCGCAGAGTCCAGGCTGACGGCTGGCTTTTGTAATCTCCTTTGACAGCCACTCTAGCCCCCCACCCCACCCGTGCTTGAACAACACTTGCAGGGTTTATCAGTATGCAGGAAACATTTGTGATTAATTATGCTGGTGATGCATACAATGCAAGTGAAGAAACACATTGAAAAAAATAGCTGCACATGTGCAAAAGCACAATGTCAGAGTGGGAGTACCTGCTGTCAGACTGAATCAGTTACCATTCCTGGACATCGTCTCAGTGGGGTCCAAGCAGACTCCCTTCCCACAGCCTGTGTTCTCTCTTGAGAGCTTTCAAAATGTTACTTATCAAAGGAAAACAAAGATTCGGGTGTGAGTGATCTTCATTTATTAGGTGCAAGGATCTTAGTGTGTGGGGCACCCACCACAACATTTCTCCACAAAGTGTCTCAGTTTCCTCAGCTGAGCAAAATAATGTGCACAAAAATAAGAAAATGTTTCCCAACCACTTACAGGCTCTTGAAGGTGCTGCTCAAGCATCAAAATGGAAATTATGAAAATGAGCAATTTGGATCCCTCTATTTTGATTCTGCCCCTTGATGTAATCTCATTATTTTATATATCGCTAGCAGAAATTGCCCACATTTAAAGTCAATGTTTAGGGAGAGAAACTTGCTTTTTTCCTGAATAGAAACTGTAATGATTAGGTGACAACTTTTTTTTTCATTGCCAGTTAACCAAAGGCTCTCACGAATCCACAAACTCTCAAAATAATACAGATAATCTCTATAAGGTAAGTGCCAAACATCTTCTATCTCCTTATCACTACTTGTAAGTGAAGACTGGTAATAAGGCAGGGTACACAATGGTGGAATTTGAACCATGCATGCCACCTGGAGTTCCTAGGAGTACCTTTCCCAAGTGAAGCCGTCTGATACGTTGGACCACAACTCCTAGCATTCCCCAGTTAGCAGTGGGATCGATTACACAAATTTCCCATGTATAACAAATGTGTTGTTTAAAATGGAACATTTTGGTAGTACGTAAAATAGGAACTGCTTGGCTGATGATGGTGATGGTGATAATTGTTATTTTCAGGAACTGTCTCCTGGACACAGAGAAGAATATGATTCGCTTGGAGTAAAAAAGAGAGACGATGACATTGAAAAGGGAGGGAAAAACCAGGTACCTCCACCAGCTTTTCTATCTTTTGTTTAAATTTAGTCCATTCTTCTTCTGTAGCATCTTGGTGTAGAAACCTGTCAGCATAACTCAAGTGAGTTATGGCTAATGTGGTAGGATAAAAATCAAGTAAATGAAAGTGGCCATTGGGGCATGATCCCCTGTGCTTTGATAATGTTAAAGGAATGGTTTGTGCCTGTGATGTCATGTCTGCGCAGAGCCGCATGCAAAGCTGGATGTTTTGTGGTCACTGTGAGGCAGGGATCTTGCTAGAAATTTCCACAGTACCTCAGGTATTCCCTCAAAATGTTTTGAAATTTGTTTGCAAGAGTGGTTGGGACCTCTTTGCTTTTTATTTTTCAGCACAGAAGAAAGAAACCTCAGGACAAAGTTTACACGGTAAGTAAAGGCAGGAGTTGGTTGTTCCAGCCATGATGTTTTCGAAACACAGAAAATAATAACTTTTTGATCATTGGTGTGGTCTAAAATGTACGGTTTTCACGTTCATTCCATCTGAGAGGCCTTGCAAGAACTTTTTGAAATGGTTTCCACTGCTGCACATGCACCTGACACATACAGGAACTGAATCCCCTAAACATCTGTCAGTATATTTGCTTCAGGTTTGTCTTACGAACCTGTTGGTGCCAAGTACTTGCACATGGGTTATCCAGGGTTCAGTTGGCTTTCACACAGATGATCAAACCACCTACTGGAACCTGCCTTGGATCACAGAAATGGATCCTTCTGTCTTCTGGACTCATGACGGCATTAGTCACCCACCTGTTTTGATTGCCCGAGGTTGATTGCACCTGCATGCAACCATTGTTTCTATAGGTGTGTGCCACTTATTCAGGCTGTTCACACATAATGCTAAACAATGCCATAAAGTTACCTTTCTTATCTTGTGCCCTGTATTCACACATTTGTGAGGTGACTATTTGTGAGTAGTTCTCCCCATACTGCCATCTTTGCTCCAAATGACCACAGGTATCCTACAGCCCCTGCAGCGGAAAATCAATCCCAGCTCCTGCCTGCCCCACCTGCTTCTCCCCGTGCTCCTCTGAGCCTGGCCTCCGTGAACTGCCTTTTTTATTGTCTGCTGCCTGTTCACTAGAGTCGTGTTGTTGCTCTCCAGGCAAACTGCAGGAGTGCTCCCCACTGCTGCCCTGCTCCGTGTCAAGCCACGAGGGTGCACACGTCCTCCTCCTCTCTCTCCCTCTCTCTGCCCCCTCCCTCACTGCATGTGCGTCTACTCCACTTTGCATACCCTCTTCTTGCAGCCAGCACACAGAGCACATCGGCGCGGGCAGGATCGGCCAGGGAAAGAGGGCGTGTGTCCTGCCCAAATGACAGGAGCACCTGTGGGCATCTGCTTGAGGACATTTTCTGGCCTGCCACAGGGATTGTGTTTGTTTCCCCGCTGTGGCAAGAGGGGTGTGTGCAGGGACAGCCTCAGGAATGCCAGGAGTGGCGGGGAGGGCAGGAGAGACAGGGGCAACCTGGGCCTCTCAGGGTGAATGTCCAGATGGTGGTGCCCATGCACAGCCACTGTCCTCCTCTTGTGTAAAACTGCCTTCACAAGAGGACAGCCCTGGCTCCATAAATAGATAAAAATAAAGCCGTTCCAGGGCTGCAGCTGATGATCAGGGAGGCACAGACAGAGGGAAGAAGCAGTCTGAGATAGCTAATCAGAGTGTGGCTGCAGCTGCCTCAGGAGTTGCTAGGCAGAACAGGGCAGCAAAAAAAGACTGGAGTGTTTGCTGCCACCACAGCCGCTCTCGCTGCCAAACTTGATGGCAGAAACAGAAACTGCAAAAAAACGTTGTAATGGGACTCACAAGCAATGCTGAAACATGGAAACAACCATTGATTCTCTGTGAGGATTCAGAGTTAGCAAATGTGCCACACTTCACGATGCTTGCTGAGCTCACACATAACAACAAGCCATTCCTGCCACGGCTTGCCATTATAAAAGTGAACACAGCAATTCTTATGTTCTCTTCTGCTGTTGTGTAGCAGCGGACAACCAACAGAAGCCCAATTTAGCAAAACCAGTCAGTCACCGCACCTTTTCATATTCACCTTCTGTACTCCTACTCTTCATTTCCTTCTGCTGCCATCCTCCTCCTCCTGCATTGCCTTCTTGGAGCTGCACTGCCTGTTGCTGGTAGCCTTGCCTCTCAGGCCTTAGCTCAGAGCAGCGGCGATGGACGCTTCCAGCCCAGGGGCCAAGTTCAGCCTGAGGGACCCTGCTGTTGGTGTCCATATTCCAACAGTGGGTGGGGGATGTACACAAGGGGACCATGGCAATACCAAAAGGGGCGGGACTAAAATGCAACCACCCACGAGAGAGAGAGAGAGAGAGAGAGAGAGAGAGAGAGAGAGAGAGAGA